GAAAGTTGCCACCACGGACGACTACTTCAACGACGTCCCTCAGCAAGTACCATCACACACATCTTCTAGAAGATCACTAGCTACCTCCATCTTCCTATCCCAATCAACATTGTAATGGATTGATGTGGTCTGCAACATGTTCCACCAAAAGCTACTGATAACTGAAATATCAATATAAAATAGAACAATTGCTCAGTTATGTATTAGAACTATTTATTGTGTAATAGTATGATCCATTTTCTATTGATCGTGGTTGGAAGGAACACCATTTCTGAACAATGAGGCTAGTGATGTCAGAAGGTCCGGAAAAATAGATATTACTGCATTTTTTCCACTCATTTTTTTTCTGGGTCTGTTGAGATGTTTACATATCACATGTAGCTTTATATAGATGTTCCGAAGTTACATCACTTGGTATGATTAGCTAGAAAAGTAATATATTTAGGTAGCTAAGCTGAGGCTGTACGTGTTTCTATCCTTGTATGATATATCATTTATTCCACCTTAGGATTTAAGTTTATTTATCAAGTTTAAAAATGCACACATGAGTGCAGCATAGAAAGTACATAGGAGAGATGTGTTTTCATTGATAGAGAAAGGGAAAAATCACGCCAATTGTACAGGGGAAAGAAAGAAAATGGAAATTGAAATGAAAAACTCAAGAGAAACTATGATCTCATGATAAGATGGCGGCCACCAGTCAGCACCCATAGGAGCGCTCCTATAATATGTCGTAAGTCACACACAATTTTTGATTAGTACTAGCATGCATGCTAATGAAGGTCACATGCTCTACCTAACCTATAATACTTGGTCCATCATTCTTTTGCCTATGGTTCATGATTTCTTTTCAGTTATGCAATTTAGAAAATAAGTATGTTATTGTCCAAGTATACCATATCAGTATAGGTTATGGAGGATGGTAAAGTGATTATTAGTTCAAAAGCATAAGTCAAGCTTGATATGTTTTAATCTGTAGTTACTTAACCTCTTCTACAAAGTACTAATGTATTTTGTGATTATGAAGATTCAGTTGCATGATGTTTTCATTGACTAATTCCATACTTTGTAGGTTTGTCGTAAGCAAGGCTGCCACATAGTTGCGAAAGATGATGTCTATTGATTCCAACATGCGCCAACTATCAAGGTTGTAGGGCCTATCGGAGAAGACATTCACAAGAGGAGAGTGGGCGTGTATTATTGATTTGCATTCGCAGATCTTGCATTCTATCCGAAAGAAATCAACATACCAGTTATGTCATCTCATTAGTAATTGACTTCCTATAGACCTTTTTTTTCGCAATTACATGTTACCCGCATACATTCATGAATTGTACAAACTCCCAGATTTTGGTTAATATTAATATTGTTCCTTTAGAAAAATGGACATGTGTGTCAATACACAGTTCCACAAAGTATGAAAGCAATCATTCTTGATAACAAGGTCATGCATGTCTAATTAGTTAATTTTATTTTGTAGCTCAAATTTTTATTCATGATATACCAACGACAAAAATAACAAAGTGTGCATTTTAAAAAGGCAATAGATGTAACAGACTAGATTAAGAGTTCAATCCAGAGATGAGCCCTAAAGTATATGCATTGTAGCCCGTAGCAATGCACGGGTGTTCTACTAGTTAAAGTTGTTGTGCGCCAAGTCTAGTGCCGAGCTACCACATGCTATATGTGGTTAGAAACATTGAGCAAAAAATGGATTACATAGATAATTTTTAATTGGCTACAATTTTTCTAGAGAAACAAAATCCAATATCCAAAAAATATAATGCTCATATGTTGAAAGTTTTCTTTCGATTAAACTTATATATGTATGAAGTATAAAATACACCCAAAATATATAAGAAAATTTATTATTCATCTGTTGTGGCTAGCTAGCCAGACAAAACAGGCTTGATGAAGAGGCTCTTAATAGTTTTGTGAAGATGCTTGCTGTCTGTGTACACATCGTTCCTGTTATCATAGAACAATGATGTGCTAAGGGCCAAGCCGATAATACGCTTCAGCGCGGGGAGCAATGCATGGTTTTCAAAGCGAGCTTTGTTCAGAGTTCTCCATTCATCTTCAATCAGTTCATATATCCTTGCGATGGCAACCTCGCCTGTGACGCCATACTCATGGATGTAACACTCCACGGAGCTTGCCGCATCCCCCTTGCACTTTCGGTTCTATATATATATATAAAGAATGTTTAGAGTAGGCATTCCAATTGGTAGTAGAAGAGCTATTTAAGTTCTTCTATACAGAATTACATGCCATCCACAACACATATTAAGTAAATTTGACTGATAATTGAACCGATAAAAATAACTGCATGGACACAAAATTGTCATAACGAAAATACAATTTTGTACAACAATATGGTAGTATGACTTTTTCTCTAATATTACTGAATTTTACTTGTTTAAATGCGAGTGAAACTTTGATTTCGTTGTACATGTGAGTCTTAATTAGTTACATTTTCAAATACTACATACCTCATATGCTGCAATGTCGTTCATGAAACGCACAATCTTTCCTGCTGCTATGACGACATTAGGGACACCGGCTACCCACTCAACTGCTCTTTTCATTATGGTATCATCCATGCTAGCCATCATACTCAAGCAAACGGTTGGCGCACCTATAGTTAAGCTAGTCACATTCACCTGATTTTTAAAGCTTGGCTTATGCTTCGTGTGACACCATTCCGCTTCTTGGAGATAACCAGTCACATGATTTTGAATCTGCACCCAACAAGCAAAAAAAAAGTTATGTACTGTGCCATCATCTCTAAATAGTTATAGCACACTACCTGATTACCCCCTCCATGCAACCATCAGTAAGTCATGCATGTAATCATAATTATATGTATTGCATTAATCTATCCATGCAATCATGCCACCTCAGCAATTCATGCAAGTTAGTATAAGTTAAATTTTTTTGCATCAATTTTTGTATAGTCATGGCTAATATAGGTGTTGGATGCTTGGATAAAATATATGTAGTTCATGCTTCACGTTTTTGTTAAAAAAGTGTCATACCGCTAACTTCAATCCAAATATTGTTCCTCCTTTTATATATCATTTTGTCACATGCTTCATATGTTTTTTTCTAGCATCAATTATATTTTTTAACAAGGTATCACAACAAAGTGCGGGCTATCATCTAGTTTATTATGATGCCGATACAAAACAGTAGCAAACAAAAGGATCAACCACATAAAAGTAATCAACCATGATATATAGTCTATTCCCCTATTGTTGAAGATACAAATAACATAAGCCATTTGATAGTTATTTAGTAACTGGCAATGTGTCCGTGCGTCGCAGCGGATCCAAAGTAGAATAATACATGTCTACAAACTTGAAAGAAACCACTCTTGTTTTCATATACATATATCACTAAAAATATATTGTGTTTCACTCAAAATATATTCCTCGGGATGTTTTAATGAGGTGAGGGAGGGATGTGGTTGGTTTCAAGATAATAAGGGGTTTTCTGTGAATTGGAGTAGAGAAGTGGGATATTGTTGCAAATTAAAAGGGCCAAAACTTACCTCATGGTCGTCAGATGCTTATCTAATGGTTAGAAATGATGGATGGCAGACACACCGTCGTCACCAACCGAGTCTTATATAGAAGTAGAGATATAAGGCAGAAAACATATATGTAGTTACCGCTTTCTTGAGGTAGGCAGTATCATAATTCACATTGACTGGCATTTCAACCTCAATATTTTCGAAGGTCCTCAACAGCTCGATATATAACTTCTTTAGGTACTCGGGTAGAAGAGAAACGCGTATCTTATCCCATCTATACGGTCATTCCACAAGAGAGGTTAGAAATGACACATTAGGTGTTCCACTAGTTGTATATTAATTCTCACTCAAAACAAGAAGTGGATAGTGACAAGCATGTGTAAGTTTATACATTAACAATTTGAGCATTGTCGAAATTGTAGTAAGTGCGAGCGACAATGATTGTGGGAAACCGAACAACTACATGTGTTATGGTACAACAATGACTTTCACAGTATTCTTACAACATGACGATGTCCGCTGGGTGGCTAATACTTATATTTTCTTTTAGCTCAATTTAGGTAAAAATGTTATTGGATGCATAGCTAGTAGTGTTTTTTAGATGAAAAAAAAGGAGATGCTTTGGAACTTTGCAATCGTTGATGGATTGATGGAAGTTTCAAAGGAAAAGCTATTCAAACCTTTGTATGGCTTCATGTAGCTTTCGACATTCCTCTATGGTGGCGCGGATATCATACGTGTCATCTAAAGTGGTAATTAGTACAATCATCTTGGTGGTGATACTTCGCTGGAGCTCAAAGCCTTTCTCATAGTACAACACATAGGCCCAAGTGTAGCTTTCCACCAAACGGTCGCGAATAAAGCTTAGATCGATGAATCCCGAAAAATGTTTCCGCCACCTGTGAATTGTATTTAGTGGAGTATTTTCAAAAATTACATGGATACTGTATGTTGTTAAATAGAAAAAGGTAGCTGTATTGAATAATCCATGAGACATATGGAGAAAATTATGTTCAGATGCATTTGCATGATACAACATTACATCCTATGTGTCATTATATGTGTGCTCATCCCAGCCTGTCCACAAAGGAAAGAAACACTAAATTAGTCTGACAAAAGAGCTAATGATAGATGATTGTGTGCATACTACCACCGAAACTCTTTTTAGTAATTTACATAGGGGTAGATGTAAAAAAACATAAAATTATAAACTACACATTTGATTTCCTGAATGGACACATATATTGAAATGGATAATTAGGAAGCTAGAAAGGTGTAAAGTTTTCGTCTTATTTTCTTAGTGGAAATAAATAGAGAGAAAATAACCTACTCTGTAATATCTTTGAGCTCCTTCAAGTGGACATGTTGTAGAAGGTTAAAATCTAATTTTGCTAGCTCCAACAAAATTTGGTTATGCCCTTCCTCTTCTTCATACTCTGAAATATATTGTAGCGCTTCCTCCCTCTTACACCGCCCTTGGAAGTGCTCTATGAATGGCGCATTTGACTTGCTTAGCTAGGGGGGCTTGCAGACTACCATTAACCGATACAAGATGTTGCCTTGCAAAACACATGGCTTCTTCCAGTTTTGGCTCACCATGAATGAGAAGATGAGTTGCATTGTATAAACATAGTATTCCTTTTGGATCATTAGTTATATCCTTTCTAAAGCTCCCATCTTCACCCTTGTATTTGTTGAAAACATCTGCGAGATCAGTAAATTAACATTTATTAATTAGTACAATCTAGAGCACATGCTGTCAACTTTTTTCAGTGGTATAGCCAGTCGACTTAATCTGTGGCATTGTTTCAGGAACGCACAATCCAGTCCACAGAAACTTGACCATCAGGATAGAGCTTTGTTGAACTTTCAAAAACATAAGACACCAGTATTTGGTTAAATATTTAATTGAATGCATGAAAATAATAAGTGTAAATTCATGTTTGATAATATAACAACTCTATTGTTTTTCCAATAACTCTTTGTATAGAAGTTAATGGTTAAATTTGGAACTCTATAAGTGTCCAAAATGTCACGTCCTTCAATATGAAAAGAGCATTAGTCCAAGATTGATAACTCAACTAACTAGCCACTAAATAATTAGGCATCCTCTATCATTTGCGGGCATTATTTATTTATTTTTGACATTTTCTAGATTTGTGAAAGATGGAGCAGGTAGTTAGATACCTGGAGATACCCAATGCCCATTCTCTCTAAGTAAACGGAACCGAAGAGCGACCTCATGGAGGCTGGATGAGCTACTAAAGTCACTCTCTAGGATTTCGTTTAAAGAGTCATGGATCTGCTCCTCAAAGTGGTGATCTATTCCAAGATGTTGGAGTGTATCCACCAAGAACATTCGCGCCGTCATGCCGTTGCAAGTCTTAAATAACAGGCTGACATCCCCCTTCAGTTTTTCGGCTCGCGCCATCATCCATTCCTCCGACCTCTGCCATTCATATATATGTATATATATGTAAGCATCCATTGACTAATGAATGGAAAAGAATTGTAAGCGAAGAAAGAAGATTGCGTGCGTAGTACGTGCTTATGAGAAGTTCTAAACCCAACTACATATATTTTTATATTACCTTGGGTGGGGGTGGCTCGTATGCGATGAAAAAGTCACCCCATGACGAGGGCTCAAAGCCTAGCTGCTCCTTCGTCTCCGGGGTGGCAGCAGCATGAGACGAAGACGCCATGAGAGGTAGCTAGTTAGAGAGCTTAATTTTACTTTTGGAAGCTCCTGAATGCATGCGTGGCCTATAAATAGAAGTCGAACGAATTGTTTGGTCGTGGGTCTGTGAAAAATTAAGCCTATCATGAATATTAAATTAAAAGGTCTAGCGTTTTTTGGACTACACGAACATCGTGGAACACGTGAGAGAGCGAAAGCCTCGTGGGTGTCAATTGTCTGCCTCCCAAGATTCCCCTCGTGGGACGCGTGAGAGAGCGAAAGCCTGCTGGGTGTCAGTCGTCTTCGTCCCTAGTTTCCACTTGTGGAATGCGTGAGAGACCGAAATCCCTGCTGGGTGACAGCCATTCTGTACGTCTCTTACCCGTTCACTGCTCCATCTTGTCCTCACGTACGAGCTGCATGGCCCAGGCTCCTTTGGGAGGAATCTACAGCCACAGCACATTACTTAATCAGGCACCTCAAATGTATGTGGATGTGTCGGTCAGAGTTACCTATTACTCCCTCAGTTCCCAAATATTTTTCTTTCTACAGATTTCAACAAATGACTACATAGAAAGCAAAATGAGTGAATCCACATTCTAAAAATATGTATACATACATGTTATAGTCCATTTGAAATGTCTAGAAAGACAAATATTTGGGAATAGAGGGAGTATATAACTACCTATTCTGCATCCATCACACCACAGGACTATACCGCTCCTGTGCGCCGCCGCCGCTCTCCTCTTCGCAGCCGCCGGAGACGACGCTAGGGCAAAGCCCCCTCGGCTCGGCGGGGGTGGCCTTCTCCTTGCACACCATAGGATCAAGATCGATGCAGCGGATCCCATCTTTGTCTCCTCCGCAATGATGGCTGATAACGACGGCTAGGGTGTGGCAGCGGCCTCCATTCTACAACCGCTCAACCTCCGGTTCGACTTCAGATCGTGGTGATGCTCCTACTCTTGTTCTGCATCACGCGGGCGCCCTGGGCGGCGACCCTGGGCTTGGCGGTGGTGGTCATCTCCCGCGTCAGAGGTGGTTGCCACCCACCGACCCTGGCCTAAGGCTGAGTGGTCGGATCTCGAGATCCGTCATCTAGTCCCGGCTGCGAGTCGGGGAGACATAGTTACCGGTGAAAATCAAGCCGACGGTGGGAGATGGCGGCGCTTTGCCTCGTGACCTTGATGATAGCATCGTCGTGTAACTATTGTCGACCCACTCGTGTTGCTCCGGGGGAAACCCTAGGATCTGATGATGGGGTCATGTACCTAGGGTAGGGTCACAGACCTGATCTAAGTACCCTGCCCAAAGACACCCTTAGAAGAGGTCACCTTCCAGTCGACCAACGAGGGACTCACTCGACTGACTTGAATGACTCGACCACGAAGACTCACTCGACCACCAGAAGGTCAAGAGGCACTCTGCACTGCAACGGCCTGTAATTAAGTAGACTTTATGATAGTAAAGACACTTTATGTGGGGCGTTACCAGTAACACCCCGGACTTAACTCACCTTAAACCCTCTCCTACGTGGGCTGGCTGGGGTCCTGGCGCACTCTATATAAGCCACCCCCCTCCACAGGTAGAGAGGTTTGGCACCTTGTAACTCATATACACATAATCCACTCGACCGCCTCTGGGCTCCGAGACGTAGGGCTTTTACTTCTTCCGAGAAGGGCCTGAACTCGTACATCCCTTGTGTTTACAACCTCTCCATAGCTAGAACCTTGCCTCTCCATACCTACCCCCCACTCTACTGTCAGACTTAGAACCACGACAGTTGGCGCCCACCGTGGGGCAGGTGTTTTAGCGATTTTGTGGGGAAGTTGCGATTCTTCCGAGTACTTTCATCATGGTGACTGCTGGAGTTTTGGTCGAGGGTCGAGAGATCCGTCTCGGTGCTCTCACCTTCAACGCCGACGACTCCGCCTGGCTCCAGGAGGCTCCACTCGACGTTGATGCGCTCCCCGTCCGCGGTGCGACGCATTTTCGCGCATGTTTCCGCGGCGTTCTGCTGCGGCAACCGTCGACCCCGTATCGGTCGACATCCCCATCGACCACCTTCCCGGTCTTCCGCCAGCGCAAGCGCTCGGGCCGGTCGAGGATTCAGCGGTGGGTGAGGCACGCGGTGGCTCGCCAGATGGCCACCACCCAAGTTGCAGCAATCGAGCCCGACGAATCTCTCTACGGCCTGTTCGATCTGTCGACTGGCTCCGTAGAGACCGCATCCGAGTGCGATAGCAGTGATCCAGCGGCGGAAATCCTGATGGTCGACGGGCCCCGCAGTCCCCCTGGCTTCGCCTGTGATGGTGGAGCAGGCGACGGAGGCGACCCCGCACGAGATCACGAAGAGTACCAGCCCGAGCCACTCGACTCTCTACAAAGAGAAGAACTTCGCCGCAGGAACGTGGATGTCCTGCGTACTCCCATCGCAGGAGAAACCCCCGAGGCTCGCGCCTTGGAGGAGGCACGTTTGGCCAATTTGGCCGAACGCACTCGACTGGAGAATCTTCAGCGAGCACTCGACGAGCGTGCGCGGCAACGAGTTCCCGACACCAGTCGACGTCAACTCTTCCCGCCGACTCAGGTATATCGAACCCCAATCCAGAATTTAGCAGCTGCGACCCGTATAGCAGAGTCCATCCAGCCCTCTCAGTCGGAAGCTGGCAGAGGCTTGATGCAGATCAGGGATCTGCTCCGGGCAGCAGGAGATCAGAATTCGGCCGTGTCGCAGTCGCGCAACAGAATTCACAGTCGATCCGTCGCTGCGAATACGGTTCAGTCGGCTCACAGCCCCAGATCGCCTCCGCGGCGTGAAGGGCGCGAGAATCGACGAGACGAACATGGTGACCGACTCGACCGAGATGATAGGCGTCGAGTACCCAATTCCCCTCCGAGAGATGGGTCTTACGCTCCTCGGCAGCAAGATGACAGACGTCAGCTCAGTGCGGGGCGAAGAGTTCCAGTCGACCCCAGAGAACCAGGCTTCGACGGGCGATCCATTATCGTGCAAGGTTTGGTCGACCGGGACAGAGCCCATCGAGGTGGACTCGACAGAGATGCGCCCACAAGCAGTCGAGTGCATGTTTCTGGTCCTGAATGTTTCAGCAGAGCTATCAGAGCCGCAGTTATCCCTCCCAATTTCAGGTTGGCAACAAGAGTCAGCAAGTTCACTGGTGAGTCTAAGCCTGAAACTTGGCTTGAGGACTACCGAGTGGCAGTTCAGATTGGTGGTGGGAACGACGAGGTGGCCATGAAGCATTTGCCCCTCATGATGGAAGGTTCTGCCAGGGCATGGTCGACTCAATTACCTCCTAGCAGCATTTACACTTGGGAAGATCTGTCCCGAGTGTTCATCAGAACGTTTGAAGGAACTTGCAAGCGACCAGCTGGTCTGACAGAGTTGCAAGTCTGCGTGCAGAAGACCAATGAGACTCTCAGAGAGTATATTCAGAGATGGATCACTTTGCACCATACTGTGGAGAATGTGTCTGATCATCAGGCAGTCTGCGCCTTTAAAGATGGCGTCAAGAACAGAGAATTGAGTTTGAAGTTTGGTCGAACCGGTGACATGACCTTGAGTCGGATGATGGAGATTGCTACCAAGTACGCCAACGGCGAAGAAGAAGACCAACTCCGAAGCGGCAAGCACAAGCCGAGTCAGTCGGAAAAAGGAAACACCAGTCGGAAACAGAAGCGGAAGGCTGAACCGGCAGCTCCTGGAGAGGCTCTGGCTGTGACTCAGGGAAAGTTTAAAGGGAAACCAAAAGGATCCTGGAACCCTAAGAAGGTAAAGGATAAAGAAGGGAACGACGTAATGGATATGCCATGTCACATCCACACGAAGAAAGACGAAGAGGGGAATATCATCTACCCGAAGCACACCACTCGCCAATGTCGACTCCTGATCCAGCAGTTTCAGGGAAAACAGTCTAATAACAAGGAGAAGGAGTCGGACAAGGCCGAAGACAAGGAGGACAGTGAGGAAGGATATCCGCATATCAACTCTACTCTAATGATCTTTGCAGATGTGGAGAGCAAGAGTCGATTGAAAGTAATTAACCGTGAGGTGAACATGGTTGCCCCAGCAAAAGCAAATTATCTGAAATGGTCCCAAACACCCATCACCTTCGACCAATCTGATCACCCGACTCATATTGCCACCCCTGGGAGGCAAGCTTTGGTGGTCGATCCAGTTGTTGAAGGCACTCGACTGACAAAAGTGCTTATGGACGGTGGTAGTGGGTTGAATTTGCTATATGTAGACACACTGAAAGGAATGGGCATTCCGATGTCCCGACTGAGCACCAGTAACATGAGCTTTCATGGAGTTATACCAGGAAAGAAAGCCGAGTCACTCGGCCAAATAGCTCTGGACGTGGTGTTTGGCGATTCGAAACATTTTCGCAAAGAGAAGTTGACGTTCGAGGTCGTGGATTTTCAGAGTGCATATCATGCCATTTTGGGGAGACCAGCTTATGCACGATTCATGGCTCGACCATGTTACGTGTACCTCAAACTGAAGATGCCCGGTCCCAAAGGAGTGATCACTGTCACCGGTGATCGGAAAAAGGCAGAAGAGTGCTTCCAAAAAGGCTCAAAGATTGCTGATTCCCAGGTGACAGCGGTCGAGTTCGAAGAATACAAGCAAAACGCAGATCCGAGTGACTTGCTGCGATCCAAGAAACCTGCCACAGAGTCTGCATTTCAGTCGTCCGGTGAGACGAAGCCTGTTCACATTCACCCGACCGACCCCGATGCAGCTCCAACCCACATCTCCACAACACTCGACCCGAAATAGGAAGAAGCGCTCATCCAGTTCCTCCGTGAGAACTGGGACATTTTTGCATGGAAGCCCGCTGACATGCCAGGTGTTCCCAGGGGACTGGCTGAGCATCGCCTAAGAGTCGACTCATCTGCAAAACCAGTCAAAGAGCATCTTCAGCGGTCCGCGGTCCAGAAGAGAAAAGCCATTGGTGAGGAAGTGGCTCGACTGTTGGCGGCAGGATTTATCCGAGAGAT